TCCTGGATTCCCAGTGTGCTTTGCACCTCTTTCCCTGCTGCCTTATGTGATGCCATTTTACGATGTACATATACCATCATTCATTGCTTCCAGTATGGAATGATAATGTTGCATTGTTCAGGTGTTGACTTGAATTTCGGACAGCAGGCTTAGTTAGTGTGACGACTGAGCGAAGTGCATATTCACAGGGCTGAGTGAAGTTGTGTCAGTTCATTGAGGAAATACCTCCTATTGGTCATCTTCCATAAGTAGATTTACAAACTTCTAGATGGATATGTTTATTAGGAGTGTGATAGAACTTATGGATATTCGATATAGAAATACTTATATGTTTTTAGTTTTTGACCATAGATACCCTTTAAAATTAATTAGCATTGTTTAGGTTCAGAAAAAAAGTAATATCACATTGTATTGTAACATCATTGTGGCACATGGCAATAGACAAACCACAGAAATCAAAGATAGAATTGCTTACGTGGAGAAGTAGATTTAAATGAAGAATTTTTTAATAAGTCTTCCATTTGTTTTTCTAAAGAAGGTACATCTCTCTCCAATGGCATTGTCTTCTTATCTACCATAAAGAATTACATTCCATTAAAAAAATATGTCAACAACTAGATGGTTACAAAAGACAGAAAAGACATAACATCACAGGTCACCTTAAAATTAAAGAGGAACTTCACCCGGCACAGGAAAAACAAAAATTCAGCAGCTACATGTACTTTAAAAAAATAATATATATATATATTTACTATCCCATGGAGTCCAGCGCTGTCTTCCTATATCCTGAAGTCTTCTCAACTTTCTCCTCTTACGCACTGCCATTTTGGATTTGAGAGCTAGCTAAGTGATCAGGAAGTGACAGCCTGTGCCCAAATCAAAGATGGATTCTAAATAATAAAAATTACCAGTTTGTCCAAGGGGCATGAGGCCTTTGCACACAGCACCGTTAGGAATGGGCTTGCTATGTCCATTTGTAAATATGTCTCTTGCCCTTTTAATCTGAGATTGGTTTGCTGTGCCTCCTCTGGTGGCATCATACTGATTTATATTACTGTGATCTAATTTAAAGTGACACTAAACTCAAGAGTTAAATCTTAAAAATGCATTCAAGTATCTTAACTATCAAGGGATTGTTCACACTAATTATGGTGCATTCCAGAGGGGTAGCTGCTGGAACGCACAGCAATCTCACACTAAACTTCCCCCCTTCGTTCTGGAGCAGGAGTGGGCGTGGTGGTGCATTGAAGTCAATGGCACTGCAGTCATGCCCCCCGCCCGCAGTGCGATCGGATGCGTGGCAAAACATTCCCTGCATTCCGTTCCACTGCGAACGCAAAAAATGCTGCATGTTTTATTTTTTGTGTTCGCAGTGGACCGGAACGCAGGCAATGTTTTGCCACGTGTCTGATCGCACTGCGGGCGGCGTGGGTGTGGTGCCAATTACTTAAATGCACTGCCACGCCCCCTCCCGCCCCAGAACGAAGGAGGAAGTTTAGTGTGCAATTGCTGGGCGTTCCAGCAGCTATTGCTCTGGAACGCACCGCAATTAGTGTGAACAAACCTTAACAAAAACACCACTCCAAACTCACTCCCATGATGGACTATAATTTCAATACATATTAGTAAACTAAACATGAGATTGTAGTCTATCACGGGAGTGAGCTTGGAGTGGTGGCTACTTTACAACAAACACAGGGACCATGGGGAACAAAAGCAGCCACCCTCCAGAAGGAAGGAAAGTGTCACCACCAATTCAGAGATGATTTGAGGATCTACAGCTGAGTGATACACAAATAAGGTCCAGTATTGTTAATAGTTAAAGCAGAACTATGAGGTGAGTGCTTTTCACTCACCTCATAGTTCTAGCCGACCTGTGACAATAAAACTGTCACAGGTCGGCTCAGTAGATCGGGAGGTGAGCGGAACACATACCGGCGTCGGGATCCGCTTCAGCTGCTTCGTCTTAGTATACCGCGAGCAGCTGCTCGCGGTATACTGCGGCGTCTCAGTATACGGCGAGCTGCAGCTCGCGGTATACTGAGCCTAGGGTGACGGGAGGACGCTAGTTTGTGTCCTCCCATTACCCTAAGGAGAACTATGGGGAAAAGCCTTAACCCCATATTTCTCCTTTAAGGTACTTGAATACATTTTTAAGATTTAACTCCGGAGTTTGGTGTCACTTTAAACAGATGTCCTCACCTTAATGAGGCAAAAATAGGATTTTTGTACTCACCGTAAAATCCTTTTC